CATACATATAACAAACTAAAATACTTTGTTATACGAAGAAATAGTTCGTAAACCCAGTCCCAAAAAACCATGGATTGCATGGGATCCCATGACACAAATCCCATGACAGCGCACTGAAATCCCATGAGACTGCGGTTCAGCACCATGGACAAGCGGCATGCCATGCAAAATGGAGGTCGTTTCCCATGGTGCAGGCCTAGCACCATGGGAGGACCTTCCCCATGATGTGAACTTTTCCGGGTTGGACTTCCCTGGGAAGGCCAGCCTCTCGTGCGTTGAAGTCTCCGCCTAATTTTCAATTAGGTCATATCATGTCAACGGTGCCCTCCAGCGTTGATGCACACTCCGCGACGCGTGACGGGGTGCTATGTGGGACTTCCACATCGCCTCGGCAGGGGGACGCCACTGTGACTCCAAGAGGACTCTGCATGGAAGGAAGGTGCTCCCTGACTTTCCATTTGGTACCTTTTTCCTGGACGTCCTCAGGACCATGAGAGGACAGTAGTGTACATGTGACTCTCTTAAAACTTCGCATGGCATCCCATGCATCACAAGCTAAAATTTGTTATCCCGCAGAATTTTTTCGAATTACGAAGTATTTTCTTTGTAAGCTTACGTATGCTCAAAATACTTTGTTATACAAACTAATTTTCTTTGTAAGGCCCAAAATAGTTTGTAAGGTTTTCTCAGTGCACAGTGTCCTTCGTCGCCCTGTCTCCCACACTCTCCGGAAAGCGAGAGAGAGACAGAGCGACGTGTGTTCGGAACCACCGCGTTCTGAGGAGTGAGCGAGAGAGGAGAGAAGGTCCTGAGGTCCTGATGCCGGAAATAATGACGCGCGGGCGACTGGAGCGCTTGTTCGAACAGGGACACACGCACGACGCCCCTCGTTTTCGTGTGTGTGTGTGTGTGTGTGTGTGTGTGTGTGTGTGTGTGTGTGTGTGTTTTAGAGTGTTTGTGTTCTCTGTAAGTCTGTGTGTGTGTCTCCTTCACTGCAAGAAAAAGTGTGAATAGTACAACAAATGTACAACAAAAAATGTACAATAAAAGTACAACAGGGATTGTAGAATGTACAACGAGAATTGTACAAACCACAACGAGGCCTGCACTGCCCAGCACTCGTCATGCCGGTTCCATTGTGCTTTGTACAACAATTGTTGTACTTTGAAAGTACAATAAAAACCTGATAAAAAATTTGCCAGGAATTTGTGTACTTTTGTTGTGGTTATTTCCTGCAGTGTTGGCCGTGGCCTTGATGTGTCCGACTGACGTCGCTCCGTCTTGTCTTGTTGCAGGTTGGTGGCCGCTATCTCCATCTCTCTCCGTGGCATCGCGGTAATAATAATGGCAGCGTGTGACACGGCGGCGGCGAGTTCGGTGGTTCCGAACCGTGGCTCTGTCTCTCTCGCACTCTCATACGGAAAAGACGCAAGAGTGCGAGAGAGACTCGGCACTGCAAAACTGCTAGTAACTGCTGTGCAGAGGCACCGCGCGCGGGAGGTGACAAGGTGACCTCCGGGGCTCTCGTCACTCTCACTGGCCGCTGGCCGCTCCGTGCCGCCAGGTGACCGCAGCAGGTGACGAGAGAGAGACAAAGTGAGAGAGAGAGAGAGAGAGAGAGAGAGAGAGAGGGAGAGAGGGCAGTGGCGGATCCAGAGGTGGCCAATGGGGGGGACAAAAGTAGCAAATTTTGCCTACTTACAGGGGCAAAAGTAGCACTTATTGCCTACCATTCAGGAGGCTATCTAGGGGCTATTACCGCCCCCCTCCTGTATCCGTGCCCGGGGGAGGGAGAGTCTGTTGTTGCTCCTCGATAAGGCCTTGGCGGCCTTGAAAAGGAAAGGGGGATGGGGGACCCGACCCACCCCTCGCAGTTCGGCCACGTTGCCACGGACCGCATCCTCCCCGCCGCCATGCAGGGCGCCGTGGCGCCCGGAAGGCCTGCCGCTGCACCGCCCCCCCCCTTCCGCTCCGCAGTGGCGCCCCCTCCCCCCTCCCCCGTGCCTCCGGGCCTCCGGGCCCCATCCGGCCTTGACCGAGAGGAGCGGGGCGGGGGGCGGGCGGGACTGGGTGCGGTGCCGGGCTGTTGCTGCACTGCGCTTCGAGCTGCTTTCTCTCTCTCTCTCTCTCTCTCTCTCTCTCTCTCTCTCTCTCTCTCTCTCTCTCTCTCTCTCTCTCTCTCTCTCTCTCTCTCTCTCTCTCTCTCTCTCTCTCTCACTCACTCACTCACTTCCTCTCTCTCGTGCCTCTCTCCTCTCCCACCCTTCACTGCTGGTCCTCTATGCATCCGTACAGTACCGTATACCGACTCTCTCGACATTGCTATGGCAACGGAGACGACCTTCTCCGCCTGCCAGTGGAGGCACACTGCACCGCCACTCCCTGGCGACAGATTCCGAGAGTCGTCGTTTTCGTCGCTCTGTCTCTCCTCTCGCACTCATGGGGCGTCCTGTGTCGGTGCGGGAGAGACAGAGCGACGAAAACGACTCTCGGAATCAGTCTGCTGGCGACGACGGCCTGGCGTGGCGTGGCGGGGGGCGTTCGTTGTTTTCGGAGTCGGGCCCAAAGAGAGCGGCGGAAGTCGGATGAAAAAGTTGGCTTTTAGCCCGCGCCGTCTGCGGTGCAGTGAAAGACGGAGAGTTTGAGCGAGAGAGGGAGAGAGCGTGAACGAGTGAGCGAGAGAGTGAGAGGTCGCGCGGCGGAAGGATGCGATAATCAGACGGCGGCGTTTTGGCTCGGTGCTTGGCTCGCTCCTCTCGTCTCTCAAAACGCGGCGTGGCCCGCCCCGCCCCGCCGGTTTGTTATGGATCGCTCTGGAAGGGGAAAGGCGAGGGGTGGCTCTCCAGCAGTGCAGGCGCGGGTGGCGGGCCGCGGAGGTGCTGCGCGCGGAAGCCGCGGGCGTGAGTCGAGCGATTCCGCTGCCCGAACGTGTCGCTCTGTCTCTCTCGCACTCATGGAGTGCGCCGTATCGGTGCGAGAGAGACAGAGCGAGGAGTGCGGGTAGGCCGCGGAATCGCTCGACGGCCAGCATGACGGCGCGGAGCGTGCGCCGGTCATCGCGCACCTCTGCTGCGTTGCCGGCGCACACCTCGCTCTGTCTCTCTCGCACCCCGACGGCACACTCCGTGAGTGCGAGAGAGACAGAGCGAGAAGCACAGGCCTCGCGGAATCGCTTGACAGGCGCCCCGCGCGGGGAGAGCCAGACCCAAGCCCCAGGAATCGAGGACCCCTCCTGCTGCCCCCTTCCAAAAACGAGCACTGCACGGCGTGGCGCAGGGCGCAGGGCGATCTAAAATAACACCCAGTGTCGTGACTGCTCCGCGAGCGCGCGCAGCCACGGCACTCCACGGCGCTGCAGTGCAAGAAGAAATTGTTTGGCGGGCCGCGGGCCGCTATGCTTTATGCTGGACCGGACCGCCGCGCGCCGCGCCGCCGCGACACTGCACTGTACTGAGCCGCGGCCCCGCGCTCTCGCCTCGCCTTGGCTTGTAAGGCCTCAGAAGCCTGAAGTCTGCCGCCGCATCACTCATCGTACACCACACTGGCAGCCTAGATCCCGCAGCTCAAAGGCCTTACGTGCCTCTATGATAGGCGCGCGTGCGGCGGATGCGGCGCCGCGGCTGCAGGTGGCGAACGCCCCGTGGCTGCCCGGTGTGAGCGCGGGCCCGCAGCTGCAGCAGACTGATTCCGAGAGTCGTTTTCGTCGCTCTGTCTCTCTCGCACTCATGGGGCGTCCCGTACAGGTGCGAGAGAGACAGAGCGACGAAAGCGACTCCCGGAATCAGTCTGCTGCAGCTGCGGGCCCGCGCTCACACCGGGCAGCCACGGGGCGTCCGCCACCTGCAGCTGCAGACTGATTCCGAGAGTCGTTTTCGTCGCTCTGTCTCTCTCGCACTCATGGGGCGTCCCGTTTACGTGCGAGAGAGACAGAGCGACGAAGGCGACTCTCGGAATCAGTCTGCTGCAGGTGGCGGCGCCCCGCGGCTGCACCAGCCAGCCTTGCCCCAGTGACCCGTAATGGGGGCGCGTCCCGTGTGTGCACTGGTAAACTGTTGGGCCGCTATTTCGGGGCGGCCGGGCTGTTTCCCTGTTTGCTGTTGGCGGGCTCGTTGATAAAGTTGTAGTCGCGCCCCTGTTTGGGTCCTGGCAGAGTGTAATCCTCGTAGTAACCAACCAGGGCAGACTGATTCCGAGCGTCGCTTTCATCGCTCTGTCTCTCTCGCACTCTTGCGGGACGCCCCATGAGTGCGAGAGAGACAGAGCGACGAACACGACGACTCTCGGCCTGTACTGGTGCTGGTTCACCTGCGCCGCCTGCCTGGCTAGCCTAGGGACCCTAGCCTGGCTCCGCTCGGAAGGCTCGGAAAGGAAGTGTCATTGTGCGATCCTTTGAGTCCGCTGCTGCTTCGCTTGCTTCGCTATCGGCCGGCCCATCTGGCCATTCGTCGCGCTTTGAGTCCCGGCCCGCCAGGTCCGCCAGCGCCAGCAGACTGATTCCGAGAGTCGCTCTGTCTCTCTCGCACCTGTACGGGACGCCCCGTGAGTGCGAGAGAGACAGCGCGACGACGCGGAATCGGCCTGCTGCAGCAGGTCGAGCCCGCCCGCCCCCAACAAGTACTGTTTGTACTGTTTTCACCGGACGCCAGCAATCTGGCAACAGTGCCGCGGCCGGGCTGGTCCAGGAGGCCCCGGCGCTCCAGGATGGCAGTGCGGCCCGCGGCGGCACGGCACTGGAAGCTGGAGGCGACCTGGCCGCCGAGCCGCGGACGCGGAGGACGAGGTTCGATGCGATGGCATCCCGATCCTGCCGTGACCGTCCAGAGTGGCAGGGCAGGCCGGCGGGCCGGAGTGACAGATGGCTGCTGCGCCGGACCGCCGGACCCGACCGAGCCGCCGACGCGGTGCGCGGTGCGCGCGTCGCCCGAGCTTGCCGGACCCGCCGCCCGGGGGCGCCACGGTGCGGCAGCGGCCCACGGCACTGCCAACGCAAACCGGCCAGCGAGAAAGTCACTACGCGACGCAGGCAGCAGTGGAGCAGAAGCCTGGGAATGATTCACCGTTGAAGCGGTTTCGTGTTCGCTTGGCAGTGACGTTCGAGTGCACGGAGGAAAGTCTGACGTCGTGCGGGACGCAGTGCGATTGAGGTACGGAATCGGTGCCACTTTTAATTGACTGTTTGAATGGATTGGTTGATGTTGTTATGGGCTAGCTGAGGTTAGGAAACCAGGCTCGAGACACTCGGGTTCCATCGCAACCGTAGGGCTGGGACGTCGGCGATGAAATGTGGTGGGTGTCAACCGAAAGCTGGCTGGGTATCTCATAAATGATCGGTGTGACAAAGTTCAACATAACCTCTCCTGTCGGCGCCGACCGGCTGAAGCGCTGAAAACAACACCCTTTCCTGCGCGGCAGTTCCGACCGCGGCCGCTAGATGGCGCGGGTGCGGGCGCGCGCAGTGCGTCTTGGGAATGCTCCGCGCTGCTAGAGAATCTATGCGAGCCCAAGTGCGCGGAGCACGGAGCGCCTCTGGACCGCACGGGAATACTCCTCGCTCGTAGAGTAACTAACCTCCGGTTCGGCGCGCGCGAACATTCGAACTTCCTCATGTATCTTCGGCTCGAATTTGCTGACATTTTTCGGTAAAGTATTGCTTGTGTGTGGCGAATGGTAGAAGTCCCATACGGACGAACATGACGTTATTGTACGTAGATCTTGATTTTAAGCGTCGCACATTTAAACAGGCGCCGGTTTAGGCAGGGGAATTGGCGTATTTGCTCCCCCGTCCCTTTTTTGGCACCTCTTGGGTACAAGATAGGCCGCCGCGGCAAGCACTTCTTTGCCCATGTAAGCAGACAGATATCCTCAGAAAAATCCGCGCCTGCTTATCGCGATCTTCAGCAACGGCAGGTGTTGCGCAAGCCGAGGCCTGCGCCTGCGACTCGTGGGTGTTGGCACACAGTGGGCCAGAAGACCGGTGGAGGCGGACAAAACTCAAGACGCGCTTTGAGCTCCAGAGTCGCTAAATGGGACTCGAACCGAACGTGTGGCCTCACCAATGGACTGCTCTCCAAACGAGGAATCCATTGGTGGGGTCATACGTTCGGTTCGAGGCATGTTTAGCGACTCTGAAGCTCTAAAAGAGTCTAGAGTTTTGACCGCCTCCACCGGTCTTCTGGTCCACTGTGCGGCAGGGCCTTGAATCCATTCGGACACGGCCATTGGCCACGCTTAGCGGCGCCAGTCTCGCCGGCGCTCCTCGTCTTATGACGCCACAAAGGCCCCATTTCCCCTTTTTCCCCCTCCCTACTATTTTTTAAAATTTCTTTTTTCGTATCCAAGAGATTGGCAATTCCACTTGAGTCATGGCGAGCGCATTCCCCAAGGATACCTATTACCAGACCCCCGGACCATTAGTCGCGTTAGCGGGGGGCGGGAATTGACTTTCTCGATTTATTCAAAGCCTCGTTGTTTTTTTCTTCTTCTGTTTTCACGGAAGACGTGGGAGTTGTTGCGTGGCTCTGATTAGTGGCCGGTAGTGGGTGGAGGGGGAGGGGATGGGGTGGGACTGAGTGGCGCGTGCCCAGGGGGTGGTGCGGCCGGAGTGTCTCGAGTCTGGTTTCTGCCGCGTCGTCCTGCAGACTGAGAGTCGTTTTCGTCGCTCTGTCTCTATCGCACTCATGGGGCGTCCCGTGTAGGTGCGAGAGAGACAGAGCGGCGAGAACGACTCTCAGTCTGCAGGTGAAGATGGCCAAGGGGATGACAGTGGGTGAGCGTCGCCGTCCTTGTCCGAAGCAGGTCGCCATGCCGCCGCCGCCCTCGCCGTCGCCGGCCACGTGCATCCAGTGTGGCGGCGACGTGCCGCGCCTGTACCGCCAGTACTCGCCCACCGTGCTCAAGGAGACGCGGTGCGCGCACTGCCACCGCGTGGCCGACAAGTACATCGAGTACGACCCGGTGCTGGTGCTGCTGGACCTGGTGCTGCTGAACCGGCAGGCCATCCGGCACATCCTGTACAACACGGCGTTCCGGCACTACTGGAAGCTGTGCGTCGTGATGGTGCTCATCGAGGGCTACGTGACGTACTGCGGCGTGCAGGAGGCCCACGACGGGGACCCCTGGCACGGCCTGGCGGCGCCGCTGGACGCGCCGCAGCTGGACGGCGAGCGCCAGTTCTACGTGATCTGCGTCGAGTCGCTGGTGGCGGCCGCGGCCTTCCTGGCCGTGACGGCGGTGGGGTGCCGCGCGCTGGGCCGCCGCGTGCCGCTGCGCCGCCTCGCCAAGGCCCTGGTGCTGGGCAGCTTCGCCGTGTTCCTCTGGGTGCCCGCGCTCGTCTGGACGCTGCAGGACGGCGGCCCCGCGCGCCGCTGGCTGGACGCCGCCTTCATCGGCGGCTACACCTTCCTGGGCCTCACGCAGACCGTGTCCGTGCTGTGCTCCGCGCCCAGGCCCGCCGCCGCCCTCGTGGCCGCCCTGGGGCTCGGCGCCAAGGCCGCGGCCCGGAACGCGCTGCGCGCCTGGGACGCCGCGGACGACGCGGACCTCGCCGCCGTGTAGGCCGGCGCCCGAACTTGACAGTGGACCAGAAGACCGGAGGAGGCGGCCAAAATCCCGGACGCGTTTTGAGAGCTCCAGAGGCGCTAAATGGGACTCGAACCGAACGTGTGGCTCCACCAATGGATTTCCGCTCCGAACGAGCAATCCATTGGTGGGGCCACACATTCGGTTCGAGTCGTGTTCAGCGACTCTGGAGCTCGAAACGCGTTTGGAATTTTTGCCGCCTCCACCGGTCTTTTGGCCAAAATAGTAGGCGAAAAGTTGACCAAGCACACAGGTTTGCGGCGGGCTGCATGCATCTCCTCCTGTGCACTGATGTTGCAGTCCACCGCACGTCTTTATTTTTTGGCCACCTTTTGTCCACTTTTGGTTTACTTATGCCTATTTTTTGCCTACTTTTTGGCTACTTTTTGCCCATTTTTGTGCCAACACAGCCGAAGAACTTAGCCAAAGCGGCCTTGTTTGTATAATTCTTGTACCTGATCTCGTGTTTGTTGGACGCCGCCGTCGCCCCGTGAGTCGGACGGAGGCGACCAAAGTTTTGTGAACTCGACGGACAAATAAAAAAAGCGTTGCCTTTTGTGAGCTAATAAAGCGGTGGCTATTTCTTCCATTGTGCCGGCCCGCCTTGCCGTGGCGTGGCTTCCAGTGGCGTGGCCGCCGTGCCGCCCCAGTAGTCGTGCGTGTCATCTTCATAATCCTCGCCTGTCAGAACCGTCATGTCCGGTCCGCTTTGTCCGCGGCGTCGCGACGCCTCGGCGACGCCTCGCCTGGACTAGACCGGCCGAGGAGTTCATCACGGTCACCTGACTCGGACAAAGTATTATCTCATGTCATCCGCGTGTTACTACACTATACAAGACGGCCCGCCACTGTCCGCCGGCCGGCCGCCTGCAGACTGATTCCGAGAGTCGGTTTCGTCGCTCTGTCCCTCTCGCACCTGCACGGGACGCACCGCGAGTGCGAGAGAGGCAGCAGAGCGACGGAAACGACTCTCGGAATCAGTCTGCTGTCGGCCCGTCCGTCATTTCAAGTCATTTCTCACTCAGCGCGCGACGATGCGCGTATTTGTAGTGCGCAGCGCGACAAGACGCGCGGTTCCGTCGCCTTCGCCGTCCCCACCGATTTATCCGCCATTCGTTGTACCGAGGGCATTTTTCACTCTTGTCTTCGCGTTGCGTTTCCGCCTTGCCCTTGCCTTGCCCTCACCTTGCCCTCGCGCGTCGCGGGTCGCGGATCGAACTGCGAAGAAACAAACTGGAATAAGGCGCGCTGGATTGACGAATGACCGACCGGCTGTCCTGTCGGCTTTCACCGCCTTGTCCGCGCATGCAAAACACACACACACACACACACACGCTCATACACCTTGGGAATGCAATGCAGTGCAGCGCCAAGGAGCTGTTTTCGCCGCGCGCTGTTGCTTTTTTCCAATCGCGAGCCTCTGCGAGCATTGTCCCTCCCTGTCTGTCTGTCTGTCTGTCTGTCTGTCTGTCTGTCTGTCTGTCTGTCCGTCTGTCGGGGTCACGGCCAGCACCGCGAGACTCCGCGGGGTCGTGGCGGGTCAGGCCGCCTTTCGCTCCAGTTTCTCCAGGAGGGGCGCGTCCTGACACACTGTCACACAGTGGCGGTGACGCGGGCGACAGCGCGACCCACTCTCCCTTTCGTCGTCGTGTCTCGTTGTCTCTCTCGCACTCAGGGGGGAGTTGTACCGTACCGTAGGTGCGACAGAGACGGAGAGAAGAAACGCTGTGCGGAGCGGAATCAGTGTGCTGACGCGTTTGCGCCACCAATGAATCCCATGTACGGCAAGGACGGCGTGGCAAAAGCACGCGCAGAAGGAGAAGAAGAGGGAGGAACGTGCGAAACACTGCAGACTGATTCCGAGAGTCGTTTTCGTCGCTGTGTCTCTCTCGCGCCTCTACAGGACGCCCCATGAGTGCGAGAGAGACACAGCGACGAAAACGGCTCTCAGAGTGTGAGTCCACTGCAGCCAACCGGCGTGTGATGGGTGCCACTTTCTCCGCAGGCCATAACCCCCGGTGTTGTGCCCCCGGGGCAGCTCGGAGGTCACGGCCGATTCATTCCGAATCGCCGCGCTCTCTGTCTCTCTCGCACTCGTGGGGCGTGCCGTCGGGGTGCGAGAGAGACAGAGCGCGGCCGTTCGGCATCAGCCGGCAGCGCTGCTCGCGAAGAGCGCAAAAAAACCACACGGCGCGGGGCGAGTCCATTTCCGCATGACAGGTCGTGTCATCTTTGCCGCGCCGCCACCACACTGTTAGACCACCGCCCGGGGCGTCGTCCGTCCGGCCGGCCGGCCGCGTTGTTGGCAGTGGGGCGGCCCGCACCGTCATCCCTTTATAGAACTGACCCAGCCAAGCGGTTCGTCGCTCTGTCTCTCTCGCACCCTCGAGGAGAGCCCGATGGGTGCGACAGAGACAGAGCGACGAGACGACTCTTCTGAATCGCTGCCCGGCAGTGGACAATGAGAGTGGTTTGTCGGGCAGCGCGTCGCGGCGCGTCCTCCACCGTCCTCCACGCCCCGGGGCCACTATCAGTGTAGCAGCGCCCCGCAGCAACGCGCCAACCGCCAAGTGGTCAGCGCGCACGGGTTGGCGGTTTGATGATCGGGTCCGGTCGGATCGGAATCGGAGGGAGGGACACCCGGGCAGGACGCACGCACAAAATGTTTATTTACATGCACTAATATAATTTCAAGTTCTTTTTTTTGCCGTTTGCGTCTAGCTGTGTGCATAATGTATCACCTTGCAGCATGCTCAGTTGGGGACTCTGGAGCTCAAAAGGCGTCTAAAATTTTGGCCGCCTCTGCCGGCTGTCTTCTGGCTCACTGTGCTGCGGCGCCGCGTTCGCGTCACTTCGGTCGCTCGCCTGCGTACAAGTCTCCAAGCCGCGGCAGTATACTACTACGCACTGCTACGCACCCGCGGCCTGACGCTGACAAGTACCGCAAATGGATGAGAAATTCGGTGACGCGAATCCACTTTGTCACACGACATTTGTGGAGCAATCTGGGGGAAATATTTCAAATCACTTTCCGTGCCATCGAGCGCCGCGCATTTGTTTAGCGTTATGAGTAATGTGATTGGATCGCTTTTTATTTTCGTGAGGCGATATGCCGCGCGCCCGCCGTGTGTGTGTGTGTGTGTGTGTGTGTGTGTGTGTGTGTGTGTGTGTGTGTGTGTGTGTGTGTGTGTGTGAAAGTGATCGCACACCCTGTCAACCCTCCACAATGGCGGTCTTTCCCCACATTTTTCTCTTCCTTGGGCGTCGCGCCCCGTAAATCAAGACATTTTGCACCTTTTTTTTTTATTCGTTCTTTCTTTTTTGTGTAATAAGAAAGAGGCATGTGATCCCTTTGGTCGTAATTTTAGCTTTTTTTTCCTCCTTCCCGTGTTTTTGCCGTTTTGGCGTCGTTCGTTTTTCTGCGATTGATAACGGAGAAGTACTGAAGGGTAGGGGGTAGCGAGAGGCAGTGCAGAGGCACCCCATGCCTTAACCGCAGAGCTTTGCGATGTCTGCCATCTCCGAGGCCCGCCCTCAGAATCAGTCGCGGACCTGAGTGCACAGACACACACTTACACACTAACACACAAACACACACACTAACACACACACACAAACACACACACTTACTCTCACTCATACTTACTCACTCACTCTCACTCACTCTCACTCACACTTACTCACTCTCACTCACTCACACTTACTCACACTTACTCACTCTCACTCACACACACTCACAGTTGCTCTTGCTCACACTCACCCTCACTCACCACGCACACACTCTCATACACAACACGCTCACACACACACACACAGGGCAGCGTCGTCGCCGCCAAGCAGTGCGCCGTGGTGCTGCGACGCCGTGGCGGAACGAGTCCGCGGAGCACGGCGAGCAAGGCAGGGCGAGCAGGGCAAGGCAAGGCTGCGGCGAGGGGAGTGGCGACGCCGGCGACGCCCGAAAAAACAGAGGCCGGCAAACGGACGACACAGTTTACGGCAAACAGATCGAATAAAGCGGAGGCTGTTTCCAGTGCCGCATCCTCTTGTTACTCCAGCTCTCCAGCGCGTCGCTCCTGTCTCTCTCGCACCCCTGTACGGGACCGGGACTGCCCACGAGTGCGACAGAGACAGAGCGACGAAAGAGCGATCCTTCGGAATCGCCAGGCCGTGCCGCGCCCCGACGACGCGCAGTCAGGATTACTGGGCGAGACGAAAATATTTACCCGGAAGCATTCGGGGGATTTGGCTGAATCAATAGATTAGGCAGACATACGGCGAGAGCCGGGGAGTCCGAGGAGTACGTCGATCTCCAGTGGCGGACGGGCCACTATTTTGGCGCAGATTAGGAAAGTGTGTGTGTGTGGAGAGAGAGAGAGAGAGAGAGAGAGAGAGAGAGAGAGAGAGAGAGAGAGAGAGAGAGAGAGAGAGAGAGAGAGAGAGAGAGAGAGAGAGAGAGAGAGAGAGAGACGGAGGTCATGACAAGACACCGCGGCACGGGCTACCGGCAGTTCAAACCACCTGGAGGCAGGCACAAAGTGCGACATCGCCCTCCTCCCTCTTCCAAATCCCGAAGTAAAATTTTGGGTACTGAACGCGCCTTGGGCTGCTCGTCGGCCTGCTTCTGCTTGGCGGCGACGGCGACGCGACGCGACGCGACGCCTCTCGAAAGTGATTCTTGGCCGAGGAGAGTCGCGGAGCAGGTCGGGCGGGGCGGCGGGGCGTCCCCGCGAGCTGCGCGTCGTCGTCGTCCCCCAAGGCGCTGCCCTCGGATCAACCCCTTCCTCAACTTGTCCCGGACATGTTTATTAACTGCTTTTCGATTGTGTGAGACAAAGGACGGTTTGGCGTGCCGGCTGCGCGTCGCTGCGGCTTGCGGGCCTGACTCCAGCGCGCGTACTTTTGATTTCTCCTGGATTTCTCTGGCGGCTTAT